TGGTGACGCACACCTGTATCCCCAGCAATCAGGAGGTCGAGGCAGGCTGATCTCTGTGAGTTCTTTCAAAGCAAGCCTGGTCTACACAGTGAGTTCCAGGCCAGCTGGGGCTACAGGGAGAGCCTGTCTCAGAAAGATGAATAAACTTCAAGGGGGTAAGTGGTACATCACAGCCATCCCATCATTACAGGCAAGAGGATCTTGAGTTGAAGGGCAACCTGCACCATACCACAAGACCCTGCCTTTAAAAAAGCTGAAAAAAACTCAATGGGCCTATTTATTAATCTTAAAATGTGGACAAGGCAGCCAAAGACTCACAGGCAAATAAATATGCACCTTTTATGTTTTCAAAGGCACGCTTTAAAGAGGAACCTGATCCTAGCAGAACCTACTCCATCTAAGATAAACATACACCATACAGAATGGGTGGACCCCGGTCTCTCCATTAGCCCAGGCTCAATATTTGGCATCTAAGGATTCCCAAGGTACCAGTAAATCCAATTCAAGGGGGTCTTTGAACTTGAATGAAAAAAAATCCTTATCTTTTTCACTAATTGCAAAATTTGCATTTTCTCCATTTATGGTTAATCAACTACTCCTAGCCCTTATCACCAGATTTTTTTCATGTCATACATTACAGCTGAAAATATTGATTTTATTCAGCTGTAGTCTGAAATTCTACATTTTACCAGTCCTGTACATGAGTGCAGGTACTTTTGACGGTCACAAGTATCAGGTTCCTCTGGAGCTGGAGTTACAGGCAGTTGTGAGCCATTCTAGGAAGTGCCCTCAATGTCCTCTTAAGAACAGTATTCCCTCATAATCACCAAGCTATCTCTCCAGCCCAAGTCTCATCATTCTAAAAGAGAAATGTGTGCCTGGTGCTCCTCTGATGGAAGCGATCCAACAGCTCACCTGCACTACATATTACATAAACTTAGTCCATTTAATCAGCATTTATCAACCATCTACATTATATTAGACCCCCAGGTGTCAGCCTTCAAAGATACACCCAGCCCAAAAGGAGAAAATGGATATAGAAAGCTCAATTACCAGAACTTTTCAGGTCCTACTAGCTAGCCAGACACTGTCTGCTCCAACAGGCAAGGAGACGACAACGCATACCCCTCAGCCCTATGATACCCAAAACCCTGACTGACAGGTGGGACCAGGAACAAAGAATGTGTCTTCCACTAGTCCCAAGATGCCCAACTACATCACCATGGGACCAATTTATTCCTGTTAGCCTCCAGCTGAAAAATAAGCAATATTTTCTGGAATAAACAGTCCTCAGAATCCAACACTTGACTTACAGGATGACCAAATTTGAAATTTGTTTTAGCAAATGAGGGAGAGAGAGAGGAGAGAGGAGAGAGAGGGGAGAGGGAGAGAGAGGGAGAGAGAGAGAGAGAGAGAGAGAGAGAGAGAGAGAGAGAGAGAGAGAGAGAGAGAGAGATTGAGATTCGTTTTAGCAAAAGTAATTTTCTGGGTTACTGGGTTACTTCATCAACCAAAATATTAAACACTACCAGACCTAATCTACCATTGCTTAGTGGTATAATTGCTGCTGGCTTGCACTGGTAACTAAGGCATATGGAATGGAAACTAGTAACATTGCTAAGAGGTTCAAGTTTAATTCCACTAAAATCTCACCATGGAACTGCTCCATTAGGAAGGATTACTGGCAAATGGAGAAAAAAGAACATGCATCCAAGCTCCACAAGCATTTGACTCACCCTTGAGTCACATCCAATACTTATGCCAAGAGCAATGCCTTTTGACTCATTATCAACAATTAAAATAAATGTTTTTAGAGACCTCACACATGGATTTCTCACTAAGCACCCCTTTGTTGAAAAAGCAAAAAATCTGGAAATCCCTGAGGTCTCTTTAAATCCCCTCATTTTCCAAATGTGGGTTTGGATAGCAAGAGTGACATGTTTTACTCCAAAGAAGTGACTGGGTAACAATCAGGGTTCTTCCAGCATACTTTAAGAACTCAAGATCTTATATACCTGAACATTGGTATTTTTTCTAGAAGGTTCTTCACCTTACCATCAAACCTTTCTTTGGTTTCCTTAGACTTAAAATTTATTTATTTTTACTTTATATGTATGTGTGAGTGTTTTGCCTACATGCACCCACGTGAACCTGTGTCCTGCAATACTCACAAAGACCAGAAGAGGGCATTGGATCCCCTGGAACAGTCTATTGTTAGATGCTATGCACCTGGGTGCTGGGAACCAAAACCCAGGTCCTCTGGAAGAGCAGCCAATGCTCTTAATTGCTGAGCCATCTCTCTTGCCGCTAGTTTTTGTTTCCTTGGGTTTTTGTTTTTTGTGGGGGGGATTGAGGGAGCGGGGTTTGGGACAGGGTCTCTCAGGCCTGGAACTCACTACATAGACCAGGCTGGCCTCTGCCTCCAGAGTGCTGGGATTAAAGGTGTGCCCACCACACCCAGCCTCAGGTTTTTGAGACAGAATCTCACTATGAAGCCCAGGCCAACCTTAAACTCAGCAATTCTCCAGCGTCTGCCACCTGAATCCTGGGATTATAGGCATATTCCCCCACACCCTCAACTCTAAGCTTATCTGTTTATAGAATAGAATCTCACTATATATAGTCAAGGCTGGCAAGGAATGCAGAGTCCTGTTTGCCTCCGCCTCTCTGATAGGATTAAAGGTGAATGCTGCCAGGTCAGCTTGCTTTTCTTTAAGAGCAGAGTAAATTTTAAAAATTAACTGCAGCCTGCAGTGGTGGCACATATCTTTAATCCCAGCACTTGCAAGGCAGAAGGCGGACAGATCTCTGTGAGTTCAAGGTCAGCCTGGTCTACATAAGTGAGTTCCTGGCCAGCTGGGGCTACTAGAAGACCCTGTCTCAAAAAAGACAGAAGAAAATAAACTGCTTATGCTTATCTTTCCAAGTGCTTTCTGCTTTACACTGCTCATTCTTCGTTTATTCTTAGTTTTTATTCTACTTTCTTAGCTCAACTACATTTGGATGTCATGCCCACATCTCACTAACCTGCAACTTGCCAATATCTCCTCCTCCACTTCACAACTGAGCAGCCATAATTCTCCCTCTGTCCAGTGTTAGCTCAAATTGTTGGAATGTTTCTTGCCTTTTTTTCTAAGGTTAAGTGTAGGTTTTGCCCCACTTGTACAATAGCACCAAGAGAAGCAGCTGCTGGAGCCATTTTTGTAAAAAGCAACACTTGAATTAAGCTGAAGCTGAAGGAGGGTTAACCTTCTGTGGAAGGACTGAGAATGTTCTAGAATTTTCTGACCCCATACTGAGCTCAGTGATTCTTAAGCCTACTAGGTAACCCATGCTGGATAAATCTTTTTATGGTGCTTCAAACTCACCCCTTCCCAGTTGGGTGACCTTGGTGCACCCACCCACAATTTTTCTAAGCTTCACATCACTAAATTCAGTGTGCTAGAATTACTATTAACCATTCAGTCGGGAGAGCTGATAAGGTAACTCTCTCAGCAAAACCTTAGTGATCTTATACTCCCTCCAGCTCCAGCACCCAAGCACCATTTCATATACAGATTTCTTCCCGCCTCCTCCCCTCCCTCCATTCTCACCTAAGAAATGTGGGACGTCAAAGATACTAATTTTTTCCCAACTCACTTCTGACCACCCAAGCACAATGAGTTGCCTAACAGCCCTTTAGTTTTCCAGTTACTCAGTAAAAGCTCTAAGAGGTGAACACTGGTCCCTTCCTTTGTCTCCTCCCCCCACCCCACGCCCCAGAGATGAATCTCAAAAAAGTTAAGAGAGAAACCCGGAAGGTCACCCATTAAACAGACCAATTTTTAAATGCAGGACTGAAATCACGGTTTTGCTCCAAATCACCAGGTATTATTTTATTTTTTTGTTTTTAATTTTTGATCTTCAGAGGACTTGGAGGAAAAAATAGAGTCTTTAGAAGTTCATAAAGAAATGAAGTCAATGTTAAATATCGTAACAGAAAAGGGGTCGTGTCTAATCGCAGAAAACAGTTAAAAAAAAAAAAAAGCAAGGTGTAGGCCACAAACTAACTACAAGTGGGATGGTCCAGGAACTACAAGATGAAAGTCCGCCGCAGTCTCAGGTTTAAAGGCCCTATTCCTCCCGCCCCCTGCGCCCAGGCTTCCAAAGAAAAGAAGTCTGCTCCGCATCCCTCCCCTCTGAAATTCCCACACGTAGTTCCCATTCTCCCAGCCTTCTCTGATGTGAACGGGCTCGGTCTTCTGAGCCTCCCGGATTAGGGGAGTTCTAATTCCCGCGCCCAGATCTCATCGTTCCCCACCCCCAATAATAATAATCGCTTCCTTTCCCCGTCCACCCGGTCCCTTTCCGGGGGATCAGTCTCCTACACCGGGGACTATGATCTTGGAAGCGCTGCGTGGTCGTGGTCCTCCTGCCGCCTGGGCTGCCCTGGGGGGGAACCCCCACCCTCAAGAGGGAAATTCAGCAGCCTGCCAGCACAGGAAAAGGTGGCGTGGGCAGCAGTCTCGAGCTCCGCACAGCCCTCGCCCAGGCCTGCCTCGCGGGTCACGCCTCGTTCCCTCCACCGCGCTCCCGCACCGGCCCCACGGGGGATCCGCCCGCGCCCCGCAGCCTCCAAGGGGTCCCACCCTCCGGCGGGGCGTGGAGGGCAGAGAGCCCGCGTGGAGCGACGGTCCAGGCCCGGAAGGGCGGTTGGGCTGGCACACACCGACGCGGCTCCTCCAGGCCCCGCACTGCGGCCAGGACTGAACACGGCGGGGACCGCAGGGGCGCGGCGCGGCCTCCGCTGAGCCGCCGGTGCACGAGGCCCCGCAGCGCGCTCTGCACTGCAGCCCGGGAGACAGACGCAGGCGCCGCGCGGTCGCCCGCATTGTTCAGCCCGCCGCGCGCGCCTCAGAGCCTGGCCCCGGCCCTGGCCCCATAGGGACAGCGGAGACGGGTGCGCCGGGGCCGCGAGGACGGCGGGGACGGCCGGGACAGGTGGCGGCTGGCGCCCTCACCTTTGGCGCTGAGCGTGAAGTCGAGCGTGCTGTGCCTCGCTGCTGCCATAGTGAGGCGAGGCCCAGTGCCATGCCTGGGGGAAGCGACCGCGGGAGACTGGGGACCGCGCAGCGTGTCAGACTGCGGCCGGCTGGGGGTGCGCTGCGCCGAGGGAGGCCAGGAGTAGGAGGTGGGCGGGGCCGACAGGAGCGACCCAGGCCGCGGGGGCGGGACAGGCCCGCCTCCGGGAGGGAGGAAGCGGGGACGCCTCCAGCCCCGAACTTGGAGCTCTGGATGTGAGGCCTCTCTAATGGTGGAAACGTGGGCGCAGTGCTCCCCGGCGTGCGTCACCAATGGCCGCGCCCTGATCTGAGGCTCAGGACAGGCTCTCCCGCCATCCGCTAGGTCACCTCAGGTTAAAACAGGCTCTGCGCGACTTCCGGGGGGAGCCACCCTATACACTTCCCTATATGCCTACCCCTCCTCCCGCAAGCTGAGGCCCCTGTTACTTCCTGGCCGTGTCCAGAAAATAAAATGCTAGGATCTACCCCTGTAGTCTAAAGGCACAGTCTGCCTTTTTCTTAAAATGCCATGGTGAAACCCATTAGCATTATTAGGAACATTTCTATTAGTAAGGTGTTGTATTTGAGTACAGAATAGAATGCTCTTGGAACATTCAAGTGCAGTACATTTTCATACAAAATTGGACAGGAGACGCAAAGAGCCTAGGAAGGCTAGTACATTTGCTACGGTTGAACTGAGAAGTTCCAGATTTGAGAACCTCATCAGCAAGACGTCCCCCTCCATGGTGCTTCTGTTCATGCCAATGGGCCTTCTTTGTTCGCCTTCTTTTTGACAGTACTACTCAAGATGAGACCAGAGAGAGCTTAAAGTTCCTGTGGACTAAAACCCTCGTTTACTGCACTGCAATATCCCTGGGCAAATGATTCTGTCATTCTGAGGGTTTCTGTGCTGCTTAGGACCTCGGGGATTGCTGTAATGGCTAGATGCAATTCAGACCAGTGAACTCATGTGCCTTCTCAACAGTGCAAAAATCATACATATTAAATTCATCTTTCCCTTAAGTGGTTTCGAGTGGTTATTTTACTGAGTTCTTCACTGTCCTGCCAGAACCTAGCACTGACTTCGAAAGTGTTTTTCAACCTTCATTAAGAACTGTATCCCATTCCCCTGTGCTCCTATCTTGTTCCTAACCATAGCCACCTGTTTGTTGCTTTTTGCCTTCTCTGGAGCCCAGGACCTCAATTTTGTTAGCTATTCTGCTCTCTGGCCCGTGTATCCACCTGCAGCTCCTTTTTCTCCCTGGAATGATCACCAGTTCTTGCCTTTCTTGTGGAGTCAGGTCACTAAATGTAGTTTTCCCTCCTGTGTTTCAGGGGCAAGGAGAGCTTCAGAGGCACCACACCTGCCTCTCTCCCAGTTTAGCACAAGAGCCACAAGCCTGCACTTGGTTTCACTGTTTGCTGACACTTTCTTGAATTTCTTAAGAATTTTTGAACAGGACGTCTTAAATTAGCTGAAAATTATGTGGCTGGCCCAGATGAGCAGCTTGTGTGGGACAGTGCAGATAGCTTTTGGTTCCCAATTGAAACACCGACCCCAGCCCTTGGACCCGACCTTGCAAAGTACAAAATAAGCAGAGATGAAAAACCTCAAGATGCTTTGCTATGAATTCATCAGAGAGCCATAAAAATGGGGAAGTCTAATTAAGAATGCCTCATGAAGATTGTATCTATGATGTATAGATAAGTGGGCCTTGATATAAGATCAATATTGTTGGGGTGATGTTAGGAGCTTACTGCAAGGGTTTTATCACTGCATGTTCTACACAATCCTAGCAAGGCTATTAAAGATAGGACGTGGACAAAGAACCAAAGGACTCAAGGCCTCTTTAAACACCTTGAACTAAGACTACCTGTTTGGATTCTGGAACATGTCTCATTGCCTGAGTTTTGTAACCCCCTGCCCCTAGACTAACCATTTAGGTTGTGGCAATTGATTTGTATTGTAGTCTTATAGTCAACCAGTTAAATGTTATTGTGCAACTATTGGGACGTCAAAGAGCTCAACAACTCATCCTGCAACAAAAGATACAGGAATTCCCTAATCTAATGTCATGATTTGCATATGAAATGTCCCCCACAGGCTCATAAATGGAAGGCTTACTTCTCCAGGTGGTATGGGTCCCTTTTTTGGAAGGCAGTGGAAATCTTAGGAGGTGGGGCCTAAATGTCACTGAGGGTGTGCTTTCAAAGTGTATCTTGTTCCAGGTCTCATCCTTTCATTCTCTGTTTCCTGGCCACAGTGAGGTGAGCAGCATTGTTCTACAAGCTCTTCTGCCATGATGTTTGGCCTCCCCATGACCCAGAAACCATAGAGCTAGCCAATCATGCTGTGAGAGCATGAGCCAAAATAACTCTTCTCCCCCACCCCTTTAAGTTGTTTATATCAGGTACTATATCACAGACTGAAAAGAAAAGCTAACACACTAACCATAGCCTGCGTTCTTGATAAAAATTTGGATGTCATGGATTCATGTGTCCCAGGCTACCCTCCTCTCCTCTTGACCTTTGTTAGCTTTCAGGAACTGATTGGGTGCTTATAGTCAGGTATGTGCTATAGAATACAAACAATTCCCTAGACACTAGGATCCAGTAAGGCCAGTCTATAACTGGGCAGGACAAGGTACAAACAAAGCCACCCCCCCATTATCATGTTGACATATGAACAAAACATGAACTTTGTCCAAACCACAAATGTGACCAGACATTCCTCATCCTGCTAAAACTAATGCCTGCTGTTTCACTACCAACCACAGATTTAGCCTGCCTCACATTTTCCCCACTTCTAGAGACATTTGCTAAGGTACTCAGTCATAGAAGAAGACCTGGCAGCATTGAATCCTGGCTTCCTTAAACACTCCACAAACAACCTGACATAAGAGTATATCCCTTATACTCTTTCTCACTCTGTTGCTTAGATGCCCCCTATGGTCCCCAAGGTAAGTATTTGTCCCACAACAAGATGAAAACAGCTTGCTGAAACCCAGGACTGCTTTTGAGAGTGTGGGACTGTAGGACAGTGACAACATAGGTAATAAGATGACATCAGGATGGGGTGTGGTGGCACATGCCTTTAATCCCAGCACTCAGGAAGCAGAGGCAGCAGGCAGATCTCTTTGAAGTTCAAGCTCAGCCTGATCTACATAGTGAGTCCCAGGCCAGCTGGGGCTACAGGGAGACCCTGTCTCAAAAAGACCAAAAAAAGATGACATCAGAACTTAGGAGGCCTGCTTAGCAACATGCTATTTAACCTTAGGTCTTCTACTCAAAACTCCTTTTCTTCTTTTTAAATATTTTTTATTATTTTTTTATTTTATGTGCACAAGTGTATTGCCTGCATGTATGTAACTGCACACATGTCATGTAGTACCCATGGAGGTCAGAAGAGGGTGTCAGATTCCCCTAGAACTGGAGTTATGGATGATTGTCAGCCACCATGTGTGTGCTGGGAACTGAACCCAAGTCTTCTGCAAGAGCAGCCAGTGCTCTTAACCACTGAGTCATCTCTCTAGTACCCCAAAACTCTTTCAAATGGGCCTAGTTTCTTATTAGCCTTCAAGTACTCTTGGAATATCAGCAACAGAGTCTTTATAAAGTTAAAGGAAGAGCTGCACTTCCCTGCACAGTTAGCAACAGAAACTACTTGGAGGAGGAAGTCAAAAGCAGAAAAGTGGACACTATTAAAAAGCAGAAGGTGGTAGTGATGGTGATGATGGCAGTGGCAGCGACTGAGGGGAAGTGAGGGTGGGTACTGAAAAGGCCGTGAGAGCCACCAGGATGTTGTTCATTCTTCTATTGTCCTAGACCTTCCTCGTGAAGGGTGGTGGGAGTAGGGGGAATTGATGCCCTTAGAAGTTGCCCTGATCATCAAAGGCAGTAACTTCTCATTTGACTGTTTGGTTTTCTGCTTTTTCACCATTTGCATGGGACCGTTGGAGACATTTCACCTCCCTGCCTCCTGTGTGCAGCTGAGGTGGAATCACTTCCTCTTAAAAAAATCTGCCATTGACTATTAGGGTTAGAATGGCTGTCAAAAAACCTGGATCACTCCCTCACCATTTTTCCACATGAATATGAGACTCGCCCAGCTAGTTAAACACAACGGTATTTAAAATGATTAAAATCTGTGTGACTGAGACAAGGGTTTGGATCTTTGACACAGTGATTCACAACTTCAGCTGCACATTGGAACTACCATGGGGCTTTAAACATATGGCTGCTGCCTGGGCCCCAGCCCTAATACTTCATAGAATTGGTCCCAGGGACAGCTCTTACATTGGGACTGTTTTTAAAAGTAAACAAATAAAAACCCAAGAGAGTCCCATATAAAGCCAACACTGTCACTGCCAGATCATAAAGCAGTTTGTGCCATAATAGGTATCATGTCACCCTGTTTCACATTCACCGGATGGCTAGAAAAAACAAATTTGAAAAGTACAAAATAAGAAGTGTGGGAATGCAGAAAAATTGGAACTCTTACCCATTGTTGGTGGGGATATAACAAGAGTATCCTCTGTGGAAAACAGTTTGGCTTGGGGGCTGTAGCTCAATGGTAGAACACTTGCTCCTCATGCCTGAGGTCCTGGGCTCTATCCCCAGCACTTAGAAAAGGAGAGAAAAGGTGATAAGATAATTGCCATATGAGTCAATAACTCTGCTTTTGGGTATGTACACAAAATAATTGAAACTCGGTGTTTAAGAAAATGAGTACAGCCCGGCGTGGTAGCACACACCTTTAATTCCAGCACTAGGGAGGCAGAGGCCTGAAACTCACTATGTAAACCAGGATAGCCTTGAAACTCACAGAGATCCATCCTGAGTACTCATACTGGGATTAAAGGTGTGTGCCACCGTGCCTGGCCGGACTCCTTATTTTACTTTTTTGGTCTTTTTGAGACAGGGTCTCCCTGTAGCCCCAGCTGGCCTGAAACTCACTATTTAGCCCAGGCTGGCCTTGAACTCACAGAGATCAGCCTGCCTCTGCCTCCCTAGTGCTGGGATTAAAGGTATGCGCCACCACGCCCGGCTGTCAGGTGCTTCTTGAATCAAGGATAGAGGACCAGAACCTTAGCATCCTGATTCCCAGGCTAGGGCTCTTTTCATTAAACCAAATTTTTCATTACATTGTTTTTATGTCTTCACTTCCATTGCTAAATGACTAGAAAGAGCCATAGAATTCATAAAGCACTATGTATCTATTTTGGGAATCATTTCTAATCTTCTTAATCCCACAAAATGTAGTAGTCTACCTGGATCTGAGCTGTGGTACAGCACTGGCTTAGTGAGTACAAGACCCAGGATTCAATT